GTGCGGTGGCGCCCCTAGGTCTCGAAATTAATGCGCAGCGGTTGTGGAGTAAGTGGTCGCGTTTATTACGAAATTTGCGGGGGAGTATATGCAGAGCTATGTATATGCTTAACTGTAATTACTTCCTTTATTTGTATGTATGCGTAACTTTGGCATAATTATTCATATAGTCCAAATAGATATAGTAGTTATTTACATATGAGCTGTGAATGTCTAATTATAAAAGAAATTAATCATGTGTAGTATGTGTCATATAAAAATATGTGTTGAATGTATTTAAAAATCATTCTAAACTTATATGACTCCATGTGTTGCAGCTATAATAAAAGCTTTTGAAAGCTAAAAAAATGTTTAGCATACATTTTTTTAGTAATTTTAAGAACATTCAAATAAAGCATTCGTTTGTGAAAGCTCGAGAAAAGCACAAGTGAATAGCTTTCATCTTCCAAAGCTTTTTATTTTCCATTCAAACGATTTGCCTATATTATATAGATTATTCCATGTATTACAGCTGCAAAAACACTTTCGTAAGCTTCAAAAAATTTGCGACACTAATTTTGAATATATTTGGGGACGTTTTCAATAAACATTTCATTCGCGAAAGCTCGAGAAAAGCACAAGTGAATAGCTTTCATCGACGAAAGCTTTTTATTTTCCATTCAAACGATGTTCTTCACTGATTTTGAATAATTTTGGGAACATTTCGAATAAAGCTTACCTTTCCGAAAGCTCTAAAAAAACACAAGTGTAGAGCTTTTATTGCCCAAAGCTTTTTATTTCCATTTAAATGGTTGATCTATAATATAGAGATTTTCCAGTTTCTAGTTATATATATTTAAATACTTCTTTTTGACAACCCGTTAGTTTAAATATACGCAATTCACTCATCGAGAAAAAATGAGTTCCACTGGGACCGTCTTAAATAACTTTTATATGTCTAATCGATTTCTCAAGCACATTAATTTGCATTTCATTGCGCTTTACACTCACTTGATCTTCCACACCAAATACCAGCTACCATATCTCCATTTGCAGCAGAATCCATCGAAAAGCGAATAATGATCCGCATTCCATTAACCCATTTCAAATTCGTGTAGCAAAACTATTTTGTAATTTAACATTAAAACTGACATTCATAGCATGGCAGCAAATCGAACAAATGGAAAACTAAAATTCTTCAGCCCCAACACCCACCAACACGTCTCAGTTTACCGAACAAATGGCAAGTGTTACAACAACCGTTCGAAATGTAAGTAAATACTTCCGTTAGAATGTTGTCATTTATCTAAAATGTCACATAAATTAGTTTAGCCGTCAATGCACATTGTTTTACGACTGCGTTCAGGAAATTTAAGTAGGTAACCAAGTTTTTCTTACTCTCCATACACTTTTCCTACTGTTGCTTCTGCTTCTGCTTCTTCGACTTCGTCTACGTTTGCGTGTTCTTCTTCGTCGGCTGTCAAATCCTTTTGCGTCTAAACTTTTACTCCCCCAACACGCTGCCAGAAAAATGTAGCGTCATATCAAGCATCGAGAGCGTATTAGCCAGACACAAGGTGTTGCAAGGCGGGATAAACCGTAGGCGAAGGCGTAGGGGGGAAGAGTTGGAGCGACGCAAGATAACGCTTGTACAAGCCGCGTCAGTCTAAGCAATAAATGTCAGTAACTTAATCTGAAGGGAATACACATTTACTGCCGTTGTTGTTGTTGGTTGCAAAACTATTGGCAATACTTGAAGTAAAACAATAAGTGTCTAATCGCAACAACAATTTGATGTCGGAGAAAGTGCATAAATATGCAAGTGTCTGTTGGTTGCATGCGCATATATTTATCTATACAAATTTATACATATTTACTTATGTATATGTATACAATGTTGCAAGGCTGCAAAGTCAGCCACTGAAGTAATATTACACTAGTATTATTTTTGTTGTTAGCACTGTTGTCTACCAGTTGAATACATGTGGTCATCGGTATATTTACGCTTTGTCAATGCGCTGCGTGTAGCACACTTGAAGAATTCTACAGAGCTACTTTGTTATCCGACTGTCTATTTTTCGGGTTATTTGTCTTTCTCCAGGGACTAGGCATGGCGTTTCGCTAGAAAATTATAGTCTCACTTCATAATCATTTCTTATTGTATGTTGTAATATATGTATATATTGTCTGTGTATACATATATATAAGAATATACATATATACCGTTTTATGTATTTATTTGGTAGTATTCAAGTGTTTTTGAAAAAGGCGGTGTCGAATTACTTTTAGAAATTAGCGATTGAAGCACAGAAAAAAAAATTGAATATTTATTATTTGTTTAAAAAATACAAATTGACACTGAGATCAGGTAAATTACGCCTATTGAAATTTTTTTTTTTTTTTTTTTTTTTTTTTTTGTTTGATATAAAAATCGGTTTTTGGAAAATGAAAGTCTTGTTCGATGCGCATTTTCTCTGCTCGCTATCTTTGAGCGCCGCTCTGAAGCGTTTACTATAATATTAGTTGTTAACAGAAAATAGAATGTCTTCACCAAAGAAAGATGACGAAAGATAATTTGAGTGTGTCCCGATATATGAAGTAATTTGCTACCAGTCTATTTAAACATGGAGTATAGTTTGTTCGATTCGCTACTCTTCAAAGTTTTGCCAATAGGAAGCAGCTAATATCTTCGAATTCTGTGGTTTAATTAATTTTGGTATTAGATAATATACATTTTCTCTATTTTTGAATATTCAGCGTGTTTTCATTATTTAACAAATATTTTAAAAAAGAGGTCGAAATTATATGCGGTTGAAAAACGCAATTGTGTGCTCTTTTCAAATATTTTTTAATCGGAGTTTCAAAAAATGTATACTAATGCTTAAGCAATTAAGAAGGTACTAAAATTAAAGTTTTGCAATTTCTTAATTGAGCTCAATCTGTTAAGACCGATGCTTAATTTGGTGAATAAGTAAATTTGCCCCAAACTATATGTAATTGGGTCTATTGAAGAGCTGTCTGAGTTAACAATAAATAGTGTGCAATTATTGAAGTTCAATTAAGCGAAGATTCCTGTACAAATACTAAGAATAAAGAGAAAGTATTTGCTAGTAGCTCATTGAAATTTGCCACTGCTGTGAATAGCAAGAGTAATCAAATACTGTTTTAAATCAGCGATTGACGCTACATTAAATATAAACCATTTTAATTCTGGAAAACAAATATAAAAAGTAATGAACTTTTAGCTTAAAAAATAAATAAATAAATGACTAAAATTTAATAGAAAACTATTTTTATAAAATTTTACATTATTTTTCATATAAATTATCTCTGCTGAAATAATTAACTTTAAACCTTTAATTATTCAAATCACGGCAACATGATAAATAGTCTTAACACTGTGCTCCCACGGTAAAACTTAATTTTTATACGCCAATGAAATATTTGTTTGTAAAATCAGCGTACAGCTTAGGCAGCGACTCACCCGTTTGTGTGCGGCGGAAAACAACAAGTTAATGGTCTGTAATGTCGGCTAAGAAGTGATTTCAAAGTGCACACACGCAAATTGTCACTTTTGTGCACACACTCATTTAATTTATATACAAACACACATAACGACAACTTAAATTAATTAACTAATTCAATATTGAAATGGTTGGTTAGAGCGCCGGCAGGATGTACACGAGGGGCGCTGGTTCCTAAGGATGCGTGTAGAACATGAAAAAACCATTTGTGTTCATAAGTAGCGCGTCAAGTTCAGGACGACAAGACATTTGTGGTGCAAGCTAATAGAGAAAAATTAGTGTTTTGTTTAAAACTGTGTATGTGTATGTATGGGAATGTATGGGTGTGGGTTTGAACACCATTTAATATCTGTTTATATATTCGTGCATTTGTACAACATCCCCAGGGTCAATGACACCCACACTAAGCAACATACACATACAAAGAGATATGAAGCCTGTCACAGCCAGAGTAGCCAGTCGGGGGCATACAGCGCTGGGTAATTTTTTTTTGAAAATGAATACAAATTTGTTTATATATATGTGTGCGCGCGTGTGTGTGTGTTTGGCATGTCATTAATGTATTATAACTGTAACTGTGTCATTAACACAGTCGCTTTGGTGATTTCACAAGTGTCACATATGCGCACACAAAAGGATAACTCTGCAAATGGGTTCAGGGTCGACAGACAGTCGCTGGAATATGGGCAAAAACAGACAAGCAGCATTTAAATAGTGGTGTTGCACAAATGAGTTTGACTTGAGACTGAAGTTGCTGTTGAAATCGTATTGAAATCGTAGAATTATTTCGCTCATAAAAACGAAAAAATTAAACCTATTAACGTATGTGTGTCTATAACTGTAAATAACTGTTAATGAATTTTTAGATATTTTTTTTTATTTGGTTTCGTTCAGAAACAAAGCAAACAGTTGCTGCAGCTAAGGGTTTTGTTTAAAAACCTAATTGGCTTGCTAAACGCGCTAAAATTTCAAAAATGCTAGTAAAAGCAAAAAGGAAGGGTGCTAAATGGAAAAAATAAATTTATGTAGAGACGATGGGTATAGTTGTCATCACAGTTTTGTGCAAAATTTCACACCTAACTTTAATAGATGAATCTTTATCTAGTAGAGAATTAGATGTAGTTCTAAATATTAATTATAAAGAAAACATTTTAAATGAATTTACATAAATTATTTCTAAAATAAAGGGTGCGTGTCGACGATAAATAAGTGGTGTGAAGCTTTGGTAAAGGTTGAAGGCATAGATCTGAAAGGTTTGAGTTTTCGAATATATATATACTTTCCAGTTGAATATTGCTTTGTAAAAGTATAATTTATGGAATGGAGTTTTAACTCAGTATATGTGTTTTTGTTTTTTTTTTTAATTTTTTTTGTTGTCAAAATATACTTATACGCTACTCAAAAAGTCACTCAAACAACCATACATATTTAATATTTTTTCTAGATTTATAAAATTAAAAAATCTTTTTTAATCAAACTCACTTACTTTACTTGCAGAAACTTCATACAACGGTAAAACTTAAATTTCAACATTTCAGTGTGCCGTGAGTTTATCACTCTATATCTAACGCAACTGACTCCATTTTGCAAGCAGACAAAAAGTGAAATTAATGCACACAAACGCGCACATACATTTTCGCGATATCTGAGAGAAAATAGTGAAATTAGTGTTGGAAAATGTGTAAAAAACGTGCTGCAGCAGCGATCCTGCTGTTAGTGCTGACCATAATTGGCAGTTATACAACACAGGGTGAGCAACATCCAGCGACGGCGGATGAAGGTGAGTGTCAAAAATCTTTTTGTTTTTTTGTTACAAACATTGTTTTCTTATATCTCTGCGATACTTTTTCATATTAAAAATCTATAATAATAAAAGCTAATAATAATTATTTGTTTTTTAAATGATTCTTTGCCATTTTCATTGGCTATAGTCTTTTATTTGTATTTCTCAAACGGTTTATAAATAATTTCGAAAACCTGTCAATCCGCTCCGAGGTTTTTAGCGTCCAAATTAATGGTTTTAAGCAGCTTCATGCGTCGTAATTTAGCATTTTTAGCTCTTAAGCCAACGTATTATCTAAAAATCTGTCAGATTTAGTCTTAAGCTTCGGCTTGTAACTTTGCCATCAAGATGCTTCAAAGCGAAAATTTTATGATATTTTGTCATTAAGCTAACAATATCAGAATTCCCATGCTGTCACGAATTTGTCATAAAATTATTAAAAATGAAAACCTAATGTTTCAGAAATCAATTATCATGCGCTATTAGCATACATATATAACCCACACATATATTTGTATGCCCACGCAGCGCCTTTCAGCACCCATTTCCCTCGACACTTTCTTCTCGCAGCTTATTGAATTTCCACTAAGAAACTGAGTTCGCCCGTTAAGTGATATCCCTGCTTCATGGGTAAATAAATTTTCGAATTCTTCGAAGTTTTTTTCATACACATCAATATGCACTCCAACACACGAGCACTTACATTACACGAAATTTAATCCGACTAATAATTATAATATGCTGAAATATTCATATTTTCCGAAGCGCTCATCGCACAGCGCGATTCTCGCTTTACATTCACATTTGCATTGGAAAGTACTTGCACTTATGAGAAATGAGATTTTCCTTTGCACTCTCAACGACACATTTTTATGAATGTGTGTAAATATTCAAGCACTTGAGTACTACAAGCAACTTGAGCATACATGCTTATGTATGTGTATGTGTGTGCAGTGCAAGAATGCAAGCTAATCCCCTGCCAGGCACGAAGATGCCATCGAAAATATGAATTTTTTTATTTTTTTTTTTTATTAATAAACGAACCAAGACGCTGTAAAATCTCAAGCTTTCCAAATGTGGAGCGAACTGTCACGAGCAACCGGCGGCTGCTGCGTGACGTGTGTAGGGAAAAATCGAAAAAATTATATATACATACATACATATGTAATATGGAGAGGGGGAAATCGTTTGCGAGCAGAAAATCTACTAACAAAGTAATTGAAAGTAATCGAAATTTAATCTTATTTAAGCGCATAATCACATAGTCATGTTATGGTAACAGCAGCGGGCAACAACAACAACAACGGCAGCAGCAGCAGCAAAACAATCAATAGCCTGCAGTGGGTTGAAGCGAATGTGTCACATAATGACAAATGTCATTATACGCATTCGCACTCACACACCCAAAAAAATAAAAAAATAATAATACAAATCAGCGTATATGCATGTATGTGTGCATATATGCGCGTGTGTGTGCAACGACTCACGCATAAATATGCCACAAACGAAAAGCGTTGGCACAAATCGATATTCTTAGCAATTTATTGGTACTTCTCTCTTCCGCGTAGTTAATAAAATCGAAGCAAGAAAATAGGAAACACTCATATAATTTCGATTTTATGTGTGGGAAAGCGCTTGACAACGGAAGTGCGGGGTTACGCGGGTGACAAATGCGTGTTACACACCAAAGTAATCAACACTTTCCGTTCGCAAGTGTCGCTTGACGTGTGTGTGTGTATATATAGATACATACATAGATACATAATCATGTGTTTGTATTATGTAAGTAGGTATGTATGAGTAAGAAGCGTAATGAATGTGCCTGTGCCAGGAATTTATTATAATCGCAAACAGAGCTGAATGTGCAACCGCCCTTAACATAAGAAATGTTGCAAGTTTTTTGATTTGCGAGCCTTGCCACATGTATTTTTTAAATTTATTTTCTCGAGACATTACGAATTTTCAATTTATTTGTTTGTTATAAGAAAGATATTTAGACTGTTTTTATTCAAAAAAAAAAAAAAAAATGTTTGGAAAATTGTTAGAAGACGTCGAAAACCTAAGAGTTTAGCTAAAAAAAAAAAAAATAACTCGGGCACACAATATTTGGTACACATAATTAATTTGTATTTTGAATGAAACTCTCTTTTTCGCCTTTCGTAGTTGTCAACTCGAACTTTTGTTGATGTCAAGCGCACAAAAAGTAACAAAACTGCCAAAAGCAACAATAAAATAAACCAAACCAGCTGTGTGTGTCGGCAGTCGACCCGAGCATGACTACAAATAATGCGCTGCACACGTTGACAAAGCCGCGTGCTTAACTCGTTTGCGTAAAAACTTTTCGAAAACTTTACAACACAAATTTTAGACGGAAATTCTAACGACCTTTGTCGAGAAAAACTATTTGTTATTTAAACATTTTGTTTATTTTGTGCTATTGTATTTATACACACATACTTATAAATAATAGTTCCGCCCGTCAAGTGTTAATGTTTCAATTTCAATTTCAACGTTTTATCTCCAGCAAACACACACACACTTAAAGAAATATATAGTAGTATTTAACTCTTTGTTTGCCACTCTAAATAAATAAAAAACAACAAAGTGTAGTTAGGTTGCTCTATTATATATATATATATATGGTAATAACCAGCACACGCTTTTCGCGCAGCCTAGCAGCCGCTAGGCATACTGCCCCACCTTTCGACACCACCTCACCGTGCTTTTAATACCGCTATGTTTACATACATATCACTATATTCCTTTGTTACTCGCAATTGGCGTTGGAGTGGTGATGTTCAAGTGTGCTTGTGCTGCATGAGTTGAGCACACAGCTCTAACTCACGCTCAGCACAAATAAAGCTGTATCGAAATTCGAAAATTATTCAAATTCGTACTTGAAAAACAATAACTGTAATCATAAACCCATCAAAAACACTTCATTGTAGGCCACAAGTGTGGTTTAGAAGAGTGTGTGTATGTGCCTTATTTGAGTGCGTAACGGAAGTAAGCGCCTGAAGGTGAGTGCATTGGGCTCTTTTGCGTATCTCATGATGATTATTAAAGTGTTCTTATGTACTACAGTGCTAATCAAATGTAATAAATATGTATGTATAAGTCAAGCTGTATCATTGTGTACTGGAAAGCATACATATAAAGCGATTTTTTTTTTAGCTAACAGCTGTATTTGTTAACTATTAGGTAAACCACTCATGGCTTACATATATATATATATATATACCAGTTATTCGTGGAGAACAGCTGTTTTATGGAATATTTTTAAGCTGTAGCTGGTTGCTTTTCAGATGCTTTTCATGATAGATTATGATTACCTCACAATATTTGCTCAGCGCATACTTTTGCTGTGCTCACCTAAGAATTACTCTTCGTTACCTGTAATTCAACGCATTCTCCAAAATCACCGTGTCTAGGAAGCCTGTTCTTAAATTTTTTTATAATAGTAACAAATTTCGTTTTCTCTAGGGTTTGAATAGAAGCAGCAAATCGGTTAATATTACAATTGTCATGTAGCCGTGATCTCTACCATTGAAACAGTAGCTTTTTCGTTGATTTTGTTTCGACACGGAGCCAGAAAAAGGGATAAAACCACGAAACAGCTACAAGAAATTATGTAAAATGATTAAGTGTAGTTGCCTACATTTTTGCCTGCCACAGCTTCTGAATTCTATTTATATGTACTTCTAAGCTTCCGAAAGCTAAGATTATCTTATATACTACCCCTAGTAGATGGGATAAGCTTAAGTAATGCTAAAAAATAATTTTAAAATGTAAAATCCATTTGATGTGTTTTTATTCGAAAAGTGACGCGATATAACATTTAAAAAAATCAGTAGTCTTTGTATAAAAAAAAAAATTTCACTTAAATTAAATTTTTAATAACTAAAATTTTCCCGATGAATGAACCGCTAATGTGAGCTTTTCTGAGAATCCTCCATTTAAATTCTACACAGATTTTATTACCAATAATGCATAATCCAGTCGTTAAAGCGTACTTTAATAACTAAACCCAAAGTGGCGTTATATAACATATCTGTATACTTATTTATTATAATATATAATTTTATCTCGAATTCAAATATTCCTCATTTGGTTATGAGTTGCATGCGCATGAATTCACTGCTTGATGCTTATTATTATTTGTTTTTTTTTTTTTTTGCCAATTATTTTTAAATTTATTCATGTGCGAAAATGTGCATTACCACCGAAATTTCATGCATACCGCAATGCAACAACAAATTGCACGAACTTCTATGCACGGAATTCAGAGCAAAACCAATGTAAGTGATAATGCTTGCCACAGAAATTATAATACCCATCTGTTAAGCGCGAATTCGTTTTTAGAGCTCAAATCTAAAAAAATTCCACGCGAAAAACACCGAAAAAAGCAAAGTCAACAACAAAAGCAAATATCACCAAATGCTCTATGTGGCTTTCTAATAACATGGTTGTTGGGTTAATTTATGGCGAATTTAAATTCGCGATTAAATGGCTTTGCAAAATAAAATACAAAAGGATTTCAATGCAATTTTCTAACGGTGAGTTTAATATTTATAACGTGACGGCTCTACACAAAGGCGGGTTGTGGCCGAGCGTGCCACAAAGCAAATAATAATTAGCTTGAAGCGGCTGAGGTTGGCTGTGTAAGCAGTTTGTTCTGGGCTTTCATGAAAGCTATAAAACGTATAGTCATTAATTTTGTTAGGAATTCTTGTAACAGAGTCTATGTTCGAACCAGCGCCTTTTTGATTTAACCCCACTGTTGCCACACACGACTGACTTGACTGCAACTTGCGATGTTTAATTTTTTATGCGCTTTTTTTTTTGTGAATTTTCTATGATCTACAAATCATGTATACGTGTGTGTGTGCACTACCGCAAAATATGCAAATAAATATGAGGAAATGCCTTTTAGACAACAACTATAAAAACCACAGCATTTAATCAGCTAAATAGGCACAAGCCGACATAGCCATAGC